CGCGATCCATATTACGATACATTGTGGGATAGTCGCCACACGTCGGAAATGCAGTACGACTCCTCGCGCGGTCAACGTCACTTCTCACGGTCTAGACCGTAGTGTCGTGAGACTTAGTGGCGATAACACGCATCATCATTTGTGAAATCGGATGATGACGACTAAGATAATTGATTATTTCCCACTCCATATATTCAACGTATTGTATGTCCATTCAGTGTATCTGCTCACTTGGGAGATTGGTCCGAGTCGTGAGGAAATGGTTGCCAGTAAAACGGCAGAAGATTCTTCTCTCAGTTATTAGTATCTGAGATGATCGTTATTACTATCTATTGATGTGTATTATCGATTAACTATGTCATTGTCGCTTGTCTTGGTAGGACTGGTGAATAGCAAAACAACCTTGATATTCACCTGTCTCCACCAGTATACCTGTGTTGATTGGAGAACAACACAGTTAAGGGTTGTCATACGCAGAGCACTGTTGTAGGCAACAGACTAAACGGACAGCACAGATGAACAGCTAATAGATATTGATCGATCAGGAAGGTTACAGATAGTAATCGTGTCAACCGTCATAAGTACTCCTAGGAAGAAGGGGGCGAACTGGGGTCGCGCTGGCATCGGTAGCTCGCCGTCATGTTGCGCAGACTCCAGACCGTCACCGTACCGCTGGTGTGAATCGCAGGACTCGGTCAGTACTGAGGCGTTCGTGGACAAGCGGGACGCGAGGCCCAGCTTGCGGGGGCTACCATTATATACACCGGGTGCCCCTCCACATATTCTCAGCATTTATGGTGTGCAACTCATAATTCATCGAAGCAGTCGAGTTTCACCCTGATATCTAAATATGATAGCTCTAGTAACACTATCACTTACCTAGCCAGGCCTCAGAATCCCACTCCACTGCTATTCCGATTTACGCACTCGATGCTCCCAGAAACTTCCACATATCCTTAGCATATTTCTGAAGCACTCGAGGATTTTGGTGGTTGAGTATTATTGAAGCATCCAAACTGTCCCGCCATCAGCCAACATGACCACTCAAGTCCTGCAATGCGGTGGAACCATTGAATTCGAGACAGCATGATTGTGCACAGTAGACAAAGTTGATCGATTCACCTATATAGCTAACAGCCTTCACTCACATCAGCCAACGCGAGGCCTACCGACTCCCTATGTCGCGTTCCGAAGTTAGAACTGAGGAAAGACTCTGGGTTATGTCGAAGATCAAAATGATCATGACAATCATATCGCGTCGCCATATTGTTGCGCGCATAGAACATGTAGCTCTCTGTTATGTCGTTTCCCAATATACCTCGAGTCACTGAGACACTATGGCCTGTCAGATAGGAACTGTCTGACTGAGTATAAGATAGACAGCACTGGAACTATCCCCGTATTATATGGCCGCCATATATACACCTCGCCGAGGTGACCTCGGCCATTCCAGGAGTCAACTCACAACTTTGTTCCTCTGAAGAAAAGATCGCAGGGACCTGGTTCATGGTTGACGACGAGATTGAATGATGACGATAGAGATGTCGAATAGCTAGCTCAAGGGATGATGCGCTTGAGGATCGACCTGGCGATGAATCTTTGAGACGGAGGTTCGATCAACCTTAGGCTTCGATATCTCAGTGTCCGATGTGGTGCTTATCATCTGTCTATTTCTTCCCTCCATTTCTCTATCTAGTTGAGAGAATCGGGTGATGAAATCTCCGCTATCAATATACATGACATATGGCTGTCTCACAACCAGTGTTGGACCCATAGCTGCTGTGCTCATCTCATGAATTCGCTGAATTTAAGATCTCTGAGATTGTCACCGGTGATTGGTGGTCCCTCACTCGACACGCCTCCGAGCTTCCCTTACTAGGGGCAAAACGCAACAGGGTCGCTTGAGCGATAATCTAAAAGCTCCAAGGTAAAGATGTTTGATGCTTTTGATAACGAGCTTACAATATAGCTGCGAGCAACTTCCACCAGCTTCTAGCATCAATGCCACTAAGAACTTCCATCTGCGGCGATTCTATGTCATAGTAATCCAATACGCCGTATCTCGAAATAATTTCACAATCGCTATGATGATGAGACTCATGGCGATTGGAAGACTCCGATAAAGAGTCATAGCATGAGAATAACGAAGTATAAGTGGTTGAGTGTCTGGATATAAGGACAATTCACTAACGAAAGTGTCCTCCCAATGTTCGCTCACCCCAGAATGTGCTGAATCTCGACTCGAGATTCTTGAGCACCTACGTGAGGGATACATGACGGACCGAGACGAATCATCCACAAAACATTGTTAAAAGATGGTGAGGAGAGTTTACTTTGGCAGGACGATCCTCTCTTGAAGGAAGGTCACCGGGATGTTTAACTTGATCAATACATTACTGACGAAGGCCTTCGCTGTACCCTTAAGGTCCCATATGCTGTCATTGGCCTTAAGAGTATCCAAGGTCAAATGGAGGGAACCACCAACAGTACCAAGTGTAACCTTCTTGGTGATCGATGTTGTCACGTTGAAGCCCATATTTCCAGCATTTGTAGCATACATATAGCTGCTATCAGTGGGTGCATGCTCCAAGTCCAAAGCTAGGTAGTTGAAAACATAGATTTTGAAGTGAGGATTAACGATTATCTTCTTCTCAACGCGACCGAGTAGCCCAGGTTTGGGGGATTCCACATCGGAGGTCGCCAAAGATAGGGCCGCGCCAAGTCTTTTTTTGTTACCAAAAGCTACCACCTCTGCGTCACCGCCGGCGTGGGTGTCCAGACTCTTCGCAGTCTTGTCCGCGAACTCGGTTGTGAAACCAATAACGACATTGTCCTGTGGGTCATTGACATCGAAGAGATCAACAATGGCTGTCACTTGCTTCTCATTACCAGTTGTAGTGCGCTTGCCGTGGAAGCAGTAGTACTTTTTTTCCGGGCGCTGATCCGGTGTACAACCCGGCGGATATGAGAAGCTACCATCAGCCGAAACTGCTGCTAGCTGAGGACCTTCAGGGTATGAGGCAATACGCTCCTCATCTTGCTTGATGAACTCGGCCTCTAGCTTCTTCAGTAGGTTGATGAGCTCCGGTGTTAACTCTAGGTTGTCGATGCTACCGAAAAGGGGCTTCTCATCACCAGTTGAACGGCCGACCACGATGCCTTCAGCAAGCGAGATGAGGGCTATCGTAGCTACAGAGATCCTGACGAACATTCGTGGAGGAGTGGATGAAGCTGAGGTAAACATGTTCAGCATGATACTGACAGTATCTCTGCTGTTCGGTTCGACTCTCATAACGTGAGTTCAGTTTTGAGATGTTCATGATTTCACGTGATGACGCGGACGCACAACGTTGTGTTGGAAATTCCAACTCGTAATGTCTCATAATTAGGTTCACGCGCGCACTGAAAGTTTTATTCGATTGATTGAAACTAGATTCCTAGTCTTGAAGTGAGACAGTAACAGAGTATTCGATAAGCGGGTTTTGACTAAGATTGGGAGGTTTTCCCCAAATACAGGCCAGTTTTTTAAAGACTTGAAAATGCGTTCCGGGCTCCGGCGTATTAGATTGTTCTTGCTCGAAAAGACTTACATTTCGTGCGAGCTGCTCACGCATGCGGACTTCGTGAATTGTGGAAGCTGCACGCGTGCGCAGACCGTGTTGAGTGCCTAAGTTGACTCCCAACTAAAGCTTATCCAAGGCGCAGAAAAGCCTTTGTGTATGCCTACAACTGTGTAAGGGCATAGCTAATGGCTCAAGGGCACAAATAACTTCAAGAGTGCAAGGATAACCATTCTCAGTTACTTACACTAAATAGATGAGGAGAAATACTAAGATCACAATGGTGCACACAGAGTGACTCAGCTACAGAGACATGATGCTCGACTAATGCCTGATTACAGC